AAAAAAAAAAAAAAAAATAAGAAAAAAACGTAAATTTTTACGCTAAATCGGTTTTTGACAAAATTGATTTTGGTTTTTGGTGTAACTCGAAAACAAATGAGCATAAATACATAGAATTTTGATTGAATATTTATATTGACATTTTCTATACAGTATACACCATAAAACTTTCAATATCTTTTGATTCGTTTTGAGCTGTTTACGGCCATTTTCAATTTTCAATTTTTTGTTTTATTTTCTATAATAGTCAATACGATTTTATTTGTTGAGTCAAAAAGTATGAAAATTTAATTCAAGGTTCCTGATATATTAGTTACTTTAGCAGTTGAAAATATTAAAAATTCATACACACAATTTTTTTTCACAAGCATTGAAAGTTTGAATTTTGTCAAAATTAAAAAATTATGTTGTAGTTAAAAATTTACAAAATATTCAACTTTTATAGCTAAGGATTGAAAATTTATAATAAGGTTCCACGTAAATAGGTAAATAAATTACTGAATTTACAATAATATCATCAAATATACTTAGAAATATCAATGGCTGACTGACTGTCTTCGCTCAGAATCGTTTTTCATATACAATGATATTATATCATTGAGTTCAAATTTAACACCATCCATTAGAGTGATCCACTGTACAGCAGAACGGCACACACTTACCTACCTTTTTTACCTTTATAATAAAATAAATGTAATTCAATCTATATTATAATTTGAAATTTTTTTCAGGTGGTTTGGAGAGCTATGCAAGAATCCTGGTTCCATGATTTCATTAGAATTTTCCATTGAAGATCTATTACAGTATTTCTCAGAAATTGCTAGATCCCATTAGAATATTTAAATATTATAATCAAAAATATAATATAACATAATAACATGTTTAAACTTTAAATTGATACCTAATCTATTGTATTATCATTTTATCTATTTTAATTTTAACTTATTTATAAATAACATTATTTTGAGAAAACATTTTAATTTTGCTAAAAGTTATGTTCCCAAGCCTTTCTAGTATACTTTATCCCTTTTTATATTACGTATATATAATGTAAATTGTAATTATGTTTAACGTTTTGAAAATTATATATTTCTGAGCATAAAATACTGTATGTATTAAGTGTTATAAATATTTTTATAATAAAAAAGTCATGAGTACCTACTCAACATGTTTTTGAAGGTATAATATGTTGCTAAAAAAATATCATTGGTTGTTGATAAACCAATGTGTGTACAATAAGTAAATTTAATAATATGAGGCGGTGAATGAAGAACAAATGAGTAGGCATTTCACATTAGAAATGCCTGATATTTTTTTTCACTTTTAAAAATATTTTTATAATTTCTTATAAGTATAACAATGTATTTATTTTAGGTTGGCTGCGTAGTGTGTATAATATGCAAGTAAATGTTTGATAATCTTCATAACATTTTTTGAATAGAAATAAAAATTATTTTTTATGTTAATTTTGCTAATTTATATTTAAACATTTTTTAGCTGTCCGGCAAAAGGGAAAATCATGCTCCCTGATATGGAAACTTTATGGTTGTACAAGTCACATAAACATTGTAATAAAAATAAAAAACTATTAGCTACTTTTAGAAAAACTTTAATAGATAGAGCAACACGAGAACAAACCAATCATAGGATTATTTTTAATGAAGTGTGTGCTAGACCTGAGTTTAGGAGTTTAAATGTGCCATATAAAATGTTTAAGAGACAAATGTCAAAAGCAAAAAAAGAAAATTTGCCTCCTGAACCGAACTCAATGTTATCCTTCAAAAATCAAATGTTGAATGACTTTGCAGAAAAAGTACAAATTGAGGGAGAAAGTATTTTTATTGGACAAACTGGAAATTTGGAAGATGGCATTTCACTTGTGTTTATTGTTCCAAAATTAAAGAGGTTGGTATCTACCTAATTTAGATTTTTTTTTATCTATTTTTTTTTAGAGTAGGTAGATAGGTAATATAGATGGTTCTTGTCTATCATAAGCACTAAGCATATAAATCATAGACATTATACTAGTGTAAGAAGCATATAAGGCCGAACAGCATAGTCAATAAATTCAGGTGCATATGGCCAGGTGTTAATTTTATATTTAAATATTTGGGGAAGGGCACTTCAAAATATCCTTCATAGAGTCATAAAATCACACTAATAAATTATAATATGTATTTATTGATAATACTAAGTATTTGAAATATTTGAATATTTAAATAGTCAGATTTAAAATGAATATCCTTTTAGTTGTAAAAGGTACCTAGTGGCTAGTATTTCATATAAACATAAGCTAAATCGAAAATATATAATTAATTACAAAATATTTTGGAATGTGTTATTATTATATTTATAGTATCTATCTTCAGTGTTAATAATTAATATTATAATAATATTAAACCCAATGTATTGGGTAAATAGGTATAGTATGTTATGATATATTTATGTTTTCAAACTATTGTGCCCATTTAATGATCTTTCATATTAAATTTAGACTCTTGAGAAGTGGAATCGAATTTGTCATTGATGGAACTTTCAAAGCATCTCCAAAATTTCGAGGTGAATGTTGTCAACTTTTTGTAATAATGGGAATGTATATGGACAATGTAAGTTCAATATATTTAATTTTACTATAATTTCCAATTCACAATATATAATATTATATTTGTATAATTATTATACAAAAGTACAATTTATGGCAATGAATCAATGAATATTAAATTAATTTAATTTGTTCTCCTGTTTGTATGTGTATATTTATCCGCGTTAGAATTTGCATCAAGTATAATGCAGGATGTCTCGAGGATTAATTTACAATAATTGTAAATTATTGTAATATCTACTAGAATAACATACAATTTTTAAAATTACTCTTCAAGTGTTAATTATAATATATATATAGATATTACAATTAGGATATCTAATTTATAAGTTATTAATAAATGTTTGGTTTTATTATTAAATTCTAACATAATTTACAGGGTTTTCCAATAGTATATTCTCTAATGAGTAACAAAACTGAAACCAGTTATATACATTTGTTCAGTTACCTAAAAAATATTTTAAAATGGAACCCAAAATGTATATCTGTGGACTTTGAAAATTCGTCCATTGCAGCAATGAAGTCAGTGTTCTCAGACATAAACATTTATGGTTGTTGGTTTCATCATTCCCAATGTGTTTGGCGTCACATTCAAAAGAAAGGTCAGCTTTTATTAAAATTATTTGTATTTAAGTACCTATCTGTATCTGATTAAAGTTAGTTCTAAATTATTCTTATGTTTTAAATTTAGGTTTAACTGATTTATGCCGTAGAAATCGAACTGCCTATGACATTGTTCATATGCTTATGGCAATTCCTCTATTACCTAAGGATAAAACATTTGAAGGATTTGAGAATATATTACAATTTTATGTTGAAGAGCTTCATAGTGTTTTAAGCATTACAAATAGACATAATATGAAATCTTTATTGCGATACTACTATAATACTTGGATTATCGGTAAGAATATCTCTTTTATATGAAATTTCTTTTATTATCTTATTTAATTTAAAGTATTAAAGTATATGAGTACCACTTACCATTTGTCGTCTGTTTATAGCCAGATGTTACACACAACTAAACTAAAATACTATATTCCTAATGACTATAAAACATTAAAATATTTGTAACTTTCTTTTTATACGTGTGATTAAACTTGTGTGCTTTTCCCCCCACAAAAACAGTTCTCATTAATTTTTGTTGGACTTCAATAACAAATAGAGCTCTTACACATAAAAAAAATTCATATATATTTTTAATATATAGGTAATTTAAGCAGCATTATGTCAGTTAATAATCGAGTTCGCAGGACAAACAATCACCTTGAAGTCAGTCATATGCACCTAATGAAGCACATTCAACATCCTAACCCATCTCCATGGATTTTTCTTGGTAGGTACTATATATTATAATTATTGATAAAATTTATTATGCATAAGTATCTATGTGTATTATACTTCTTTATTTTATTTAAGTTTTATAACCATAATTAAGTCTATTTCTTCATTGTAAATACATGTTTATAATGAACGTTAGATGAAATCTGACAAATTTAAATTTATTTCAAAACAAACATCATATTATGTAACAATTACCTATGATTATTATAAGCATAATATATAATATTTTGTTTTATTAATTTTGCATTTATTATTACATATAAATTCTAATCCTAGGTGGTCTTAATATAAACAGGAATCTATTATTTTATTTAAAAATGAAATCTGTTTACAATCTTATTAAATTAAAAAAATAATTATTATTTTTATACATATTTTTACAGAGAAACTTATTACCTTCATGAAAGGAATTACAAATGATTTTTCACTAGTTCAAGATGGTATAGAAATCAGACATGAACAACCAAAAAAATGGAAGAAACTGGATAAGAAAATTCATATTGCCACCAAAAAACTGCGCTATGAAAGGTTCAGTGTATTCGAATTTCTTCTATATACAAGGCACACTACACCAAATTTTGGTATGGATCGACCAACCAACAATAGCTTTGGTAAGGACCATTATTTATATTTTAATAAACTTAATATAATTTGTATCTTCATATATAAATTATTTATAGAAGAAATTGAAGAACATAACATTACCACTCATGTTATTCATCGCCCAGATGCTTCACTGCCTACATCATCACTGTTAATTGGTTCTGATGTAGAAGAAAGTACTCCTAATGCTACATCGACACCAAATCATATGGCTCAAATAAGTTTTGACGTGGAAGAAGACATACAAAATTTGAACACTTCACCATTGGTTAATTCTCCATTTGGCTCTGATGTAGAAGTGAGTACTGCTAATGCTACATGGACACCAAATCATATGGATCGTTTAAGTTTTAACGTAGAAGAAGACATACAAAATTTGAACACTTCACCATTGATTAATTCTTCATTTGGCTCTGATGTAGAAGTGAGTACTGCTAATGCTACATGGACACCAAATCATATGGATCGTTTAAGTTTTAACACAGAAGAAGACATACAAAATTTGAGCACTTCACCATTGATTAATTCTTCGTTGGGGTCTGATGTAGAAGAAGAAATATTTAGTTTGGACGTTTCACTGCCTGCACCGATAGTCTCTCCAAATAGTGCTGATGTAGAAGTAGTGCATAGTCCTATACCGTCACCAATTATTAATGTGTCTCAATTTAATAATGATGTGGAAGACAACGATCTTCAAGAAGAAATTGACTTATCGGGAGATTCATCATTGTCACCTATTTGGACACCGAGAGTAGTAATGCTACCACCTACCATTGTAACACCGCCTTCAGAAATTCCACTTTTGCCGATAGTACCACGACGAGTTGTTTCACCGATTATAGAAATTGAATTAAACTTGGATATAAGTAAGTACATAGTTTATTATTAAATATATATTTTCCCACAAAAATTTAATAAAATAATAATTTTTTCCAATCATTGTTATTGATTTTAGGAAGACAAGTATGTGTGGCATGTCTCAATGAAGATTGTGCTAATGCAAAAATATTTCCTTGTGAGCATATATGTTTATGTGGGGATTGTGTGCAACATTTAGAACAGAACGTCTGCCCCTTATGCAGATCTCCAATTGAGAAAATAATTATTTATATTTAAATGTATAAATGTATTTTATTTTTTACATACATTTATGATGTAAGGTTTAACATAATAAACGAAA